GTTTTTCACTGCCAACGTTTTCATTCAAGGCTGGCTTTAAATCACGAATTAACAATGTTTCCTTAATTTTACAATGTATATCTGACCTACCAGTTGCTAGGATATCAAAATTGTCCCATTTAATATTATGACCCGTGGAAGTAACGTGATCCGCAATGGCTGAGGTGTGACCGCTTTTAGCAAGGGCCTTAAAATGTTCAGTTTTTCTATCGTGTAGTCGACGCTTTGTTTTTCCTATATAGGAACCAGGAACCTGTTTTTTGGGCGTGACTTGAATTTATTTTCACCTCTAAGGGGTACCATTACTGCTTTTTTAACCCCTAAAAGGCACGACAAACGCCCCGTCCATATTATATGGGTGTACTCCCGCTACCCGAGCAAAGACACTCTTCAACGGCTACGAGATTTGTATTTGATGTTTTTGCATTTCTGTTGTATAATACGCCAGACATTGCGCCAGATATGCTTAAAGTTATGCCTACAATTACACTGTTTGTGGTTGAAGATAATTACAAAGCATCCAAATTAAACTTTGAGTTCACAAAGGAAGATCTTAAAGGACTTAAAGAGTGTCAGAAACATTGAAGATTGTGTTGTTAGGTGTTTCAGGGAGATGGTTATGGAGGTCCACGGTTGAAAATCTTGGCATTAACTCAGTTACTGGAGAGGCGCGAATTGCTCTCGCCTCATTTTTCGCGCGGCCAGAATGCGGAAGAGCTCTTTCGACGGGCCCAATTTCGTTCGGCTCGTACGGAAACGCTTGCTACGCAGGCTTTTTTACGCAGGCTATGATCCAATTCGACTTGAACTGAACAGAAAAAAAAGCTACTCTTACTTTCGGTGGTAAAAACACTTCTTGGACAGAGTTATTTAACAAATAGCTGTCCATGTTGCCGTGCGTCTGTTTAGTAATAGATCACAGATGACATCAAAATGTCGCAGGTAAGAACAAAGAAGTGGTACACCGCGAGCCGTTAGGCGAGTGTGTCACTGACTCTTTCTGGCTGCGATAGAGACGATCGTGAGCTGATATGACCTATACTTTGCTCGCTGCTGTGTCCTGAAACGAACTGGAACATTCACGTCGGAAAACAAGGTTATGTGTTTATTTTAAGAAGTGGTACACCAATTTGTGTAAACAATTATTTTGAGGCTTTCCTTTCCTTCGCGCAGTCAGGTGAAATATTATCTAAATTTTAAAAAAATGTTCATAATAATGACGTAATCTATACGTCTGTGCTCCAATAGATTACAATTGAGAACCAATCAAATTGCGACAATAATTTGACTTGTTACATAAATTTCGCATTCAAGATGACCTTAACATTATAATCCCTGTTTTTCTCTCAACAGGAATTTCCACCTCTTAAACAAATGAAACTCCGAATTCGTAGTCTATAACTATTTTGATCTGCGACTGAAACTAAACAAAGAAATAAGAAACAATCTTACCTTTCTTGGTGAAAAATGCATTTTTAGCAAGCATTTGTAATGACGTTTTTCCCTCTTGGTGTTCTAACAACAACAACAACAACAACAACAACCATTTATTTGTACTCGTTTGTACATTTATTTGTAATTAAATTGTTCTTCTCAACTTGTGTCCCACACAGCCTAAGAACAAGCTTAGTTAGGTGGTGGGTACGAGAAACTTACATCGGCGTCTCGGCTAAAGACGTCATATGAGCGGTAACAAATCAGGAGCCGAGAAAGACAATAGGCTATTGTTTGGAGAACAATAGATGCTATTGTTTTCCAAGATCCAAGATGGCGCTATTTATTTTCAGCCAATCAGGAGCCGACTTAAGAATTCAAGA